ATTAGCATTGAACTATATTATAAGCTAGTCATTCCACTACTATTTATATTATATTTAAGAGAAATAAAGGCATGTATCTATATAGAGATGTGAACATAAATGTTCATAGCACTAATAATAGTAAAAAAAATGTGAACTCAAATTGAACTATCCCCCAGCCAATGAGTGGACAGACATACACATGAAATTAATTAGGCCACAAGAAAGGAAGCACTTGTCTATGCTGCAAGAAGGAAGACCCTTGACCTCATGAGTCAAAGAAGCCACTCACTGTAAGTCACACATATTATCTGTTAATTTGAAGTGTGCAGAGTAGGAAAATTGAAAGACAGAAAGGAGATTACTAAAATCACTCAGGAATATTTATTTTAATGCTTACATATTTTCTTACATGTTCTTCCAGACTCTCCATACTTCCTCTTTCTTCTTTTTCCTCCTTTTTTTTTCAGTGCTGGGATCAAACCCAGGGTCTTGTGCATGTGAGGTAAGCACTCTGCCACTGAGCTACTTCCCTAGCTCTTCCTCCCCTTTAAGATCTTGCTGAAACTTTAAACTACTTTAAGCATCAGGATTGTAGATTGACAGCATCACCATGACTTCTTTCTGTCCAGTCTTGGGAAATCTGTGGTTGCCAACATCAAGCAGTGCTTTTTATCATGTTAAATAACTATTGCTTGTGTTATTCTTAGGTTAAAGAAAATTCAGTTAGTGATTCTTGTTAAAAGTTATGCCTTTAGAATGAATTCTGAATTACATATAAGCTGTCTTTTAGAAGAGAGAATATGCTCTTGACCATGGTTGAACATTGACTAAGAATTTGGTGGCTAAGTGTATGCTGTTGTGTGCTATTTGCGTGACTTCAGCCTTAACATTCTCATGTGTACCTTCTGGCTGTGCTGGGTGGTTTTATGTCAACTTCATACAAGCCAAACTCATCTGAGAGGAGAGAGACTCAATTAAGAAAATGGCTCTGTAAGATTAGGCTACAGGCAAGCCTTTAGGTAGGGAATTTTGTAATTAGTGATTGATCTGGAGGGCCCAGCCAATTGTGGGTGGTTCCATCCCTGGGCTGGTGGTTCTGGGTTCTATAAAAAAGCAGGCTAAGCAAGCCATGTGAGCAAGCCAGTAAGCAGCACCCTCCATGGCCTCTGCATCAGTTCCTGCCCTGTGTGAGTTCCTGACCTTTCTGTTTTTGATGATGAACTGCTATATGGAACTGCGAGTGAAATAAACCCTATCTTCCCAAGTTGCTTTTGGTCATGGTGTTTCATTATAGCAATAGTAACCCTAACTAAGACATCAGCTAATAGGAGCTTCTAGCTAATATGTTTATTAGAGAAAAAGTAATTTGCTTAGACATATCTTCTGATTATGTAAATGTCCTCTAAATGTCCATTGTTTTATCTCTTTCTTGTATAATGATGTCTTAATGGAACTAACACTACTTTTTATTTTTTATTTTATTTTTTTTTACAAAACCAGAAGTTTAGTAATGAGAACTTGAAGTTACATTTTAAATAGTATTTATAGTGTTTGACCACTACTTTCATAAACTTTGATGATGTGTTCATAGGCTGTGGGCAGAGACCACAGTTTTCATGTTGCCTCTATAAATACCGGACAGGTGGCAACCTTTTTGCTTTTTCGATAGTGTTTGCCCACTTGAGATAAATTACCTTTTCTAGATATCCAAATGGTGTGCCTGCAAGAGATCATTTACCTCAAACAGGGGAGGATGCTACTTTCATTGAAGGGCTGAAATATCAATCATTATGGGAATAGAATGTAGGTAGCTGAATGTTTTGGTCTAAAATAAAAGTTTAAAGATAGAAACAAATGTATTTGATTTGATTTCTGTATATATCTCTGAATGTATCCAAGAGTAGAAGGACACAGGCAGAATATCAGTAGATGTTATTACACATCTTCGCTGTAATTAAATCTTAATTTCCTTGAAGTTAGATGACTCACACACACCCTTGCTAATAAGTTGACACTCAACTTACTTCCCATTGGATACTTTGTTAAACTTTGTAGAAGTCATAGCTAAAAAAGGCCTAACTCAGAGGCCTAATTATGGCCGTGTCAAGACTGAAGTTTCATATTTGGAAGGCCAAAACAGTGAGAGATTGTATTTTTGTTAATAAGAAGTTTTTCTTAAAAACTAAGGTTTTATTCAGGCCTAGTTGTACATGCCTATGGTACCAGCAGCTATGAAACACAAACAGGAGGATTCCAGAGTAACCCTGGTCTACATAAGGAGTTCCAGTTTAGCCTGGGCTACATTGTGAGATCTTGTTTAAAAGGCAATGTTAAATTAGTATCATCACTGGCATTGTTAACATTACTCATCACTGATGCTTTTATGCACTTTATTGTTAAGTCATTATTACTCTTTGCTCACTCTTTCAAAAAAGCTCCATTTTAGAAAATGCACTGTAGACTTCTAGTTTTCTATACAGTAGTTGTATTTTTAGTAGCAATGGATTTCTGTAATGTTTTCTAAAGACATCTAGTTTTATTGCACGCAGCATCAGGGACATGTCATTCATGTCTGTACTTTTGTTATGACAAATAAAGATCACACTGCTGTGCTTGCTGCAGCTGAAGGACAGGACTCCTGAAGTCACTCCCTGTCCCCTCCAGAAGCCCCGCAACCTTCAGGGTTACAATTGCTAGGCCAATCAACTGTTTAGGAATTTATTTTTGAAGATTTATTTGTGGATGTGAAAATATGCCTGTTCTACTGGGAATAGTAATTGTGTAACCTGTGATCTGCTTCTTTATAAAGGTCCCATTATTTAAGTTGGGAAAATGACTAGCAAATTCTTTTAACATGAAAACATTATACCTGTTTTTTACAGGTATAAATTTTAAAATGAGACAAGTAAACAAGGGGATTTCTAGTGACTTTTGTTCTTTGTCATGCGAATAAATATGTAATTCTGACACTACAGTGTCTTTTCCTCTTTTATTATAAAATTGTATTCCATATGATAATGTGAGCTCTATTATAAAAATGCTTCGTAAAACATAAATTATTTAGTGCTCTGACTGTAGTTCATGATGGTCAGCACTCAGGGACTTGGAATGTGTCTTTTTCTAACTTCTTAAAAATTCAGAAGAATGCCTTGTGGAATTTAATTGTCATTTAATTTTCTCTTTCTTAGTGGTTATTGTCTACCAAACACATTTCAGGGATACAGATAAAAAAATCACTGTATTATAATTTAATTAGTTGAATTTTTATTTTAAAGCTCTTTTTCTTGAAAATGTTGTTACTTTTATATTACTTAAAAATTTAAAATCAGATTTTATATTTGCTTAAACAGCAATTTTGATATAACATGAAAATTAATATTACTTTCTGTTGGTGTTTTTGAATGCCTTGTTGAGTTCAGTATTGTTGCAGCTGCTCTTCTATGGAAGTAAAATGAAATGTAATAAGTCCAACAAATATATAAAAATATCTGTATATGCTAACCTGGCATAGTGAAGATAGGGCAGCTGGAAATGAAAGAGGACAAGTAAAAAAATACAGTGCAACTGGAAACACAGAGAATATGTATATTTGATATTGAAATGATGTATTATATTGATTATTAGGAGAAAATTAAATTTTATTGTTCTTTCATTGAACAGTGAATTATTTAATATATTTTACTTTTAGCTATTTGCTTAACTGTTCTACATTATGTATTAAATGCCATATAATTGTGTTAGTAATTTTTTTGTGATTCATTACTTACTAAATGACTCATTATTAACAAAAGAATTATGTATTTTAATTAAACTTTGTATGACTTTGTCCATGACATTCTTTGAGAGTATATTTCTAATAAGTATCATATAGAATGAAACTATATTACATTATATTTTCAAAATTCAATGCAGTAACAACTGATCAAATAAAATTTATATGCACAATATTATACTTTTACCAAATTGGCAATTTTACTTTATGTATAACTCTGAAGCAGTATGATTTTCAAATTTTGACTGTTATGTGGCATATATTTATACATTGAGGAATAGAAGAAATAGAAAATAATTCAAATTTTAGAATGCAATGTCTATAAGGTAGAATGCAGAGTATTGGGGAGGCAGTTCTTAATGCCATAGGAGACCATTGTTTGCCCTCGGTCAGTGTTGTTCTTTTGTTTTTGAACTGTATATATTCCCACAATTAATATAAAACAATTTGATTTGGTAACATTGCCCTTCTCATAGAAAGTCAAGATTTTCATTAAACTCCAGTAGTAGAGACTACTGAAATGTAGAATGTACTTTGCTAGATTTGTACATGAAGACTCTCATGGTGCTGGTCATTTTACATGGATAGCATCATAAGACAAGTAATGACAGATTAAGGCCTGCTTAGAATAGGGAAAATGAAATTATATAACTTTTGTGAAGGCATAAGTAAGCCTATTCACCATATCTGGAATATCAGCTAGTAGGAACAGTGACATTTTGTTTATCAACATTAAGTACAGTTATTAATTACATACCTAAGGGTCTGGTAGTTAGTAAGCAGGATGTGTAGCATTACAGGAACACTCAAGCCCACTAGACACAGAGTGATTACTGAATTCCCATGGGGAAATAAGTAATTATAGTTGCAGAATTTTTAACTCTCCTGGACAAACAAAATTGTGTTTTCTTGTCTGAGAATATAAGTATTATGGCACTAAGGTCATAAGCGGTCATAATTATGAATAGAAATGAAATTTATATGAAGTTTTAGAAAAAAAAGTAAAGGGAAGGTGACTTTCTAGAGTGTTGTTCCATGTGAAGGTCAGACTGTAAGTTTAGGAGGTTTCCTGTAGGAGTACTGTTCGGTAGTGAGCCAAGCTGTGTTCAGCTTTTCATAGTAAAGCTTGGTGTGGAAGGGACTATAAATGCATGAGAATTACATAACTGAAAAATTCTGTTGTGATCAGTAACATTGTAAAATTAACATGAGACAACTCACATTTTATGCTTTTTTTCCTTTGAAGATCCAAATTCCAGAATTTGTGGACATTTACTCATAGGTGCAACCAAGAGTTCTTTTGCAAAACTAATGGATAAAATTAGTTTGGCAATGGAAAGCATACCTCTGCATAGCAGCCGGAGCATAACATATGTAGAGAAAGACTCCCTCGTTCAGAGGCTGGCCCGTGGACTTCACAAAGTGAACACGCTGGCCCTGAAATATGGTTTGCGCAGCCATATGCCCATTATGGTATGTGCTATTTCGTTTAGTAGTGACTTTAGGATTTGTGGGTTAGAATGTGTATCAGACTTATTTATAGTTTAAGTCAATTGCATATGAATTATTTAGTTTCACATAAACTTTAAATGAAATAATTAAAGCCCCTTGAATAAGTTTACTTACTTGGTTTAGAAATATTTTTTATATAATGTTTCAGTTTAATTTATAGTAAAATGCTCATTGCTATTGATTTATTAGTAAATCTGCAGCTGATGTTTATAAACGTACTGTTATTTAACAACAGAAAAGCACTGCATCATTACAAAAGCAAATATTTGGATTTACACAAAGGCTGCATGCTGCTGAAGTAGAGCGCCGCTCACTGCGCCTAGAGGTTACAGAGTACAAACGAACCCTGAATGAAATGAAAAAGGAGCTTGACAAATCACAGAGTCTGCAAATGCAATTAAGTGAATTCAAGCACTCAGTAAGTAAATCTGCCTTAGTAAACTAGAGTTTTTTGACATCTCTTTCTATATCTTTTACTTAACATTGATTATTTGGTTATTAGAAATCCCTTCAATAGGATTGCTTTGTTTTAAAAATTTCTGTTATTTATTTTTTCCAATTTTATTTTTATTCAAATAGATTTTTTTCATACAATATATTATGATTAGTTTCCTTTCCCCCAACTCCTCTTAGATCTTTCCTGTTTCCCCCTTCCACTCAATTCTACACCCTTCTTTCTCTCTTTCATTAAAAACCAGACCATCTAAAAAATAACAATAAAATCAAACAAAGTAGAACAGGACAAAACAAACAAACATGCAGAAAAAATGAGCCACAGAAAAAGTACAAGAAACACATCTAGACACAGAGACACAACAGGAATTCTATGAAAACATAACACCACAAATTATACTATATATGTAAAGGACCTGTAAGGTTAAAAACAAAAACAACTCCAAAAATGCCATTGAACTTGTTTTATTTTGGTTATCTACTGCCAGGCATGGAGCCTGTCCTTAAGAGTGGATTATATACCCCCAATTTTTCAATTAATTAATTAATCAATTAATGTATTAATTTTTATCATTGTGTGTATATGGGTGCATGTATTGCATGGTATATGTGTATGTACATGCATGCTTGTGTGCACGTTTGTACCACAGTGTGAGTTTGGAAGCTAGAGGACAACTTTTAGGAGATGGTTCTTTGTTCTACTTGGGTTCTCGGAACCAGCTGTCAAGCTTGCATGGCAACAACTACTTTTACCTTCCATCCTGTCTTGTTTTTCCCAGATTGCCATTTTAAAGCATGTGTTTTTATTTTAATTAAAACTTGTATTTGTCCAACTGATACAGGCATGCGATTAACAAACCTAACCACCCTAAAAGGTGTATGATGAAATGTGGCTGTTAAGTAGAATTGCCTTTACCTGGGAAAACTTCCCTTTTAAAATGCCTTCTATTGGAAAGCCTGCTGTTTGTAGAGGAGACAAAAGTCTCTTCTCTTGTATCTTGAATAATTTTTATTCTTATACTTTCACACCATTATAATTTGAATATTAATATTGGATTATTTAGTGATATTTTAGTATTATATAATGCTGATGCTATAAATTTATCCTCAAATTTAATTAAATCAACACTTTCTCTTTCTGTGAGTTGCATGATTTCTGGGCCCCGGAGAAACTATTGTTGTCGCATTTGTCAGAAAACTGAGAGATTAAGAGCTTCATTAAAATGGCCATAATTTGTGTTTTCTAGGTTTATATACAGTGAAGTAAGACTTTGCCATTCTTAGTTTCTTTTTAAAGAATTCAAATCAGGTTGCATTGTGTTTGATGAATTATCTGAATCTACTTCACATCCCCTTTCACAGTGGGAAAGCTGTGACTCTGAAATAACTGCATGTACAGCTGTGATGATGACAAGATCTGTGTGTCTCTCGAGTTCCACATGTGCTTCATGGAATGTACCTTTTGTGAAACATTTTCTCTTTGCACTTCAAGATGACAGTGTCAGGCATCTTGTAACTGTGTTTTCCTCACTCAAATGCCTTGAAGAAGGGACTCAAGTGGTCTGACCTAGATCCCGTGAGCCCACCTATCAGGGATGCTGGCCTGTGTAGAGCTCTTGTTAGTTTTCCAGAGCGGTGTCCTGACCTCCAAGTAGTCACAGTATTGTAAGCCATCTTTTATATTATGGTGTAGAGTTTCATTAGCAGGTGTTCACATATGAATATCTTTAATTCTTTTCTGTGTTGGGTGAGAAAGCTAAATGAGCTCTCAGCTCAATCCAGGCATCTCCACACAAGATGTATGTAGGCATGAAAATAAGTAAGGCAAATTTTGATGACTACAATGGCTGTGGGGAAATACAAGTTAGCATGACAGTGAAGTGTGGGTAGGAGCAGCTAGAGAGGACATGAGACCAGAGAGATTCGAGCAATAGCACAATAAACACAGACTCAGGCAATCATTCCAATACTTATGGTCATTTGAATATTTTTCCATAATCATAATCTCTACAAAATCTTTTTTAAAATTTGGAATATGGATGGTGTTGGTGCACACCTTTAATCCCAGCTCTTGGAAGGCAGAGGCAGGTGGGTCTCTGGAGTTTGAGGCCAGCCTGGTCTGCAGAGTGAGTTCCAGGACAGCCAGGGCTACACAGAGAAACCCTGGCCCCCCTAAAACAAAACAAACCAAACTAAACAAAAACAAAATAAAACAAAAAAGCAAACTTTATTTGGAATAACTTTGAAAGTATGATTATTATACTTTAAAAACAAAAGTGATAGGTTATTTTGACTAAAACAAATTTTTTTAAAAGATTTTATTTATTTGTTATGTATACAACATTCTGCTTCCATGTATATCTGCACACCAGAAGAGGGCACCAGATCTCATAACAGATGGTTGTGAGCCACCATGTGGTTGCTGGGAATTGAACTCAGGACCTCTGGAAGAGCAGTCGCCGCTCTTAACCGCTGAGCCCGACTAAAACAAATTTTATGTTTTGTTTTATAATAAATTCTTAGAAATGTTTGCTATTAAATTATATTGCAAATTTCTATTTATGTATAGGTGTCTGTGTGAGTGTATGACATGTGTGTTCAGGCACCCGTGGGGCCAGAAGAGGGCATTGGGTCCCCTGGAGCTGGAGTCTTACATGGTTTTGAGCCTGCCTTCCTGTGGATGCTTGGAACTGAGCTCTGATCTACAAGATCAGTTGGTGCTTTTAAGCACAGTACCATCTCTCCAGCCCCTTGTTATGTTCTTTATGTTACCAAATACAGCTCTGAAGAATCAGCCATACTGCAATACAACTGGCTTGCAACTGATTTTTTTCTCTTCTTCTCAAAGAAATTGATCACCCATGAGAAGTTTGAAAGTGCCTGTGAAGAACTAAACAATGCATTACTTCGGGAACAGCAGGCACAAATGCTGTTGAATGAACAGGCCCAGCAGCTACAGGAGTTGAACTACAGACTTGAGGTACACTCCTGTGAAGAAGCTGACAAAAACCAGACTCTTGGAGAAGCTGTTAAGGTATAACATCTCCTGTAGAATGAGTTATTTGTTGCTTGTATGCATGCTGGTGTATTTGTGTATGCTATGCATAGCTCCCTGAATGTAGGGGATAGATGCAAAGGTGTGAAATCTTTCTCTGTAAATGGTTTGTAAGGATGGTGTGAGGTGTCGTTCTGTCCTCCCTTACGAGCCTTCATAGACTTGTATGGAAAATGTAAAAGTGGCCTTTACTGACTGGTTGAAAACAAAGTAGGTATTTTTCCAGTCATAATTTTTTAAATGTATTTTTTTATTGAAAATAATTTTTTTCATATAATATATTCTAATCATTGTTTCCCTTCTGCCAAATCCTCTCCATTTACCTACCTATCAACTCCGCATCCTTTCTTTCTCTCTCTCTTTAGAAAATACAGGCAAAAAAAAACTAAACCAGAGTAAAGAAAACAAAAAACAAAGAAAGCACAAGAAATATACACATACATACCGCACACACACACACACACATACACTATAAAAACAAAAATTCAGAAACCATAATATGTAAGCAAAAGATCAATAAGACAAAATGCCCAAACAAAGCCTTATGAGACAAAACATCTACAAAAAAGCCATTGAGTCCATTTTGTGTTGGCCATCTACTGCTGGGCATGGGGCCTACTCTTAGCTGTGGTTAATATTAACAGTGAGATTCCATTGGAGAAAACGGATTTTGCCTTGTAAGTGATGTCAGTTGGCGATTGCTTCCTGGTTAGGGATGGGAGACTATGTCTGCTTCTCCTTTTCAGCATTGAGATCCTGTCTGGCTGGAACCTGTGCAGGCCCTGAACATGTTTCAGCAGTCTCTGTGTGTGCATATGTGCTTCAGTCCTGTGTTGTCTAGGAAGAAACTGTTTCTATGGTGTCATCTATTCCAATTGCCTTTATAATCTTTCTGTGTCTTCTTCTACATAGCTCTCTGAGCCCTGAGGGGAGGGGTTTGATGAAGATAATCTCATTTAGGACTTTGTTTTCTAAAGTCTCTTACTCTCAGAATATGGATTTCTGTGTTAGTTTTTATCTACTGCCAAGAGGAAGCATCTCCATTGATGACTTAGTGAGGGACTGATCCATAGGTATAGCAGAATGTCATTAGTAGTTATTTAATTACTATGCTTATTTGGTTTCTCCCTAGACCCATGGCGTAGGTTCTTAGCCACCTGTGCAGTGTCAGGCATGGGTTCTATCTCATAGAATAGACCTGAAACCTAAACAGAGAGTATTTGCTTACTCCCATAATATTTGTGCCGCTATTGCATCAGCATATCATGCATGCAGGTTACTGTTGTAAATTTCAGGGTTGGTGGTTACCTTTTTTTCCTCTGGTAGCATTCAGAGTACCTTCCAGTATCATGAACACTAGTCAGTAGGGTTGGGGGCAAGCAACAACTTAACTTCTCTGTGTTTAATGAGATAGATGAATGTTGTCTTCAGCAATAGGGCTTTATCATCAATTTGTGGAGAGCAACCAATAGTCTTGGCAATAACCTGAGATTTGGAGGTTTCCATGGAACCCCTTTGGCCAATGACTCAAGCAGATATAACACATTCCTGACACTAGAGGTTTCACTTGTTGATGAAAGATTTCTAGTTAGGGCTTTGTCTTCACCATTATTTGGTGATGTCACTTATATACACATATATACAGTAGTAGGTTTTCATATGGCCCCTCAAATGGCTCAGTGTTAGTTGCCACTTCCCATATTCCCTCTCTTACCCTTCTCTTCCTCTCCACATTTAATCCTCCCTCTCCTGTCTCTCCAGTCTCTCCATAACCACATATTTTATTTCTCCTTCCCTGGGAGATCTCCTGTAGTCTCTTACTCTATACCTAACCTCTATGGTCATGTGGATTGTAGCATGCCTATCAAAAGCTTAAGAGCTAACATTCACATATAAGGGAATATATAAAATACTTGTCTTTTTAGGTCTAGGTTACCTCATTCAGGATAACTTTTTCCTTTGATTTAGGATTCTTCTCCATCTATTCCCATTTTCTTAGATTTGGCCTTTTCATGGTGTTCCCAGTCTCCTGGATATTTTGTGCCTGGATTGTTTTAGATTTAACTCTTTGACTGAGGTGTCCATTTCTTCTACCTTGTCATCAATCTTGAGATTCTTCCATGCTTTGTAATCTTTTGGTGAGGCTTACCTCTAAGGTTTTTGTTTGACTTTCTAAATTTTCCATTTTCAGTTTTATTTTTGTTTGGATTTCTTTAGTTACATTCTTCTTTTATGTCATGAATTGTTTTCATTATTTTATTCTACTGTTTGTGTTTTCACACACTTCATTAAGGGATTTCTCCTATCTCCGTCAAGGTCCTTTTAGCAGACTTTTCTTTTCCTCCTGCAGTTTCCAAATAACCAACACAGAGACTTAATATTAATTATAAATGCTCAGCTGATAGCTTATGCTTATTACTAACTAGCTCTTACAACTTAAATTAACCTATATTTCTTATCTAATTTCTACCATGTTGCTCATGGCTTGTTACCTCATTATGTACACATCCTGCTTCCTCTGCTTCTAGCTGGCACTCCTGAGACTCTACCCTTCTTTCCAGCATCCACCTAGCCTGGCTCTCCCATGTAGTCTCTGCCTGCCCAGCTATGGACAAGTCAGATCTTTATTAACCAATGAGAACAAATACATATTTACAGTGTACAAAGATTGTTTCACAGCAGTCCTTGAACATATTCATGACTGTTGTTTTGAAGCCCTTGTTTTGTGCTTCAGCACTTCTCAGGATCTATTGTGTTAGTAGGGTTACTGGTTTCTGATGGAGGCATATTGTCTTGGATGTTAAATTTTGTGTATTTTGTGCTGTTGTCTAGTCATCTGGAGTTAGGATGATGGTCTTGCCTTTGGTGAGGGCGTATTCTGTTCCTTAGTTTCTGTTTCCCTCCATGGATATTAGGTAAAAATGGTAGCTGTGGGTTACCCGTTGGAGAATCCTTCTTCAATTTGGTGAGTGGAAGAGAGGGATAGAGGTGGGCTAGGAGAAAAGGCTGAGGAGCTTCAGGATCTTGTCTGCATGGGGTCCCTAGGGAATTAGAGGTGTGGTGGGAAGAGAGCCTCCTACAAGTACATTGCAGTGCAACTAAGAATGATCTGTATGTAGATAGAGGGATGAAAGGGCCAAGAGTAAGAGTTGGAGTCTTCAGTGAATGAAGTTGAGGTGGGAGGAGGGGCACCTGCAAGTGGCTTGATCCAGGGCTGAGGGTGAGAATGGAGATATGGTAATGGAGGACAGGAAGGAGAGTGATTGACTTACCTGAGTTCCAGGTAGATAGTGTTTATGGGCATCAGGAGTTGACACAAAGAAGTAGGGATGGGCTAGAAGGGAGGGCTGAGAGGGTCCGCAGGAAGAAGCAAAGCTGGGTCCACACCAAGGTTTGGAAGAGTCTCCAGGGTTTGGAGGTAGGCTGGGAGGAGGGGCACCTGCAAGTAGGCTGCTGTAAGGTTGGTGGTGAGACAGGAAGGCAATCATCTACCCAAGTCTCAGCTTGGTGTGGCCACTTGGGGGACTCAGGTAGAGGTTGTTTCTAAGTGTTAACAGTTGACACGTAGGAATGGGAATGGGCTCCAAAGAAGGGCTGAGATGACCCACAGGAAAGAGCAAAGCTGGGTGATACCAAGACCTGGCAGAGTTCCTAATAATGGTTTTTTGAATTGGATTCTTTTGAATATATGTAACGTTTCACTTTTTTTCCTTTTTGATTGACAAAATTTACATACTTAGGATTGGAAAGATTGTGTTGTGTGACAAAACTTTCCCTGGGGAAATGCAACACACAGTTCTACTCATCCCAAATAGAGAACCCATGAGAGACCAAAGTACGGATACTACCAAAGTCCAACTTGGTGAACCAGTGAGTTTTTTTTTTTTTTTTTAGTTTTATTTTCAGTAATATGGGTAGGAATTACTTAAACAAGAACAGAAACAACTGAAAGACAGCTGCATCACCAAGGCATCTCACAAAGCTCAGAACCTGGAGCACACTGCACAGCCTGAGGCAGCTTAACAGGTCGCAGAATGTCCTTTCTAAATGACTCTGGTCTAAACCTCTTCTAGGTAGCTGGTCTGGTTTCGGCATCTTTGAAGTTTTGCTCTTCTGAAACTCTTCTTGGCAGCTCGCTTTGGCTGAGAGTCTTCTTCAGCTTGGCTTGTCTGACAGTGAGTTTCAGCAGTAAGTTTTGTTGCTTATTCTGGGTAGGAAAGGCCTAGTGAATCTGGTCAGTTTCTGGGACTTCCTGAAGCTGATTGAGTTGTTTATCTTTGTTTAAAGAGCCTCCAGTGAAATCTCTTTAACATATCTCTTATTTATATTATTTAACATCCATTCTTTTAGTAATTTTGAGGTATACATTATTACTAGCTATAGTCACTGAAGAATAAACTACTAGAATTTATTCTTCATGTCTTACTATGACTTTTACCATTTAACCAGCAGTCTCCCTTTTCCAGACTCTGTTCCACTGGAAGTATGTGTACTTTATTAGCCTGGTTTATTATTAATAAATTCATATTTATTCCATATTCATCCTCATCTTCATTCTTTTCCTCCAAGTGGTGTAAGATGAATACCCCATAACTAAAAATACATATTTATCTGAGATTTCTTAATTAGGATTAAATCCTAGATGAGGAATTACTTGGTCAAAAGCCACAAGCTATTTTATTTTTGAGATAGAATCATACCATATAGTCCAAACTGACCTTGGAGTCACGATCCCCATGTGTTATCCCTTCAGGTGCTGAGATTACAGGCATATGTCACCACACCTGGCTTTTTAAAATGTGTATATTATCAGTTGGCTGACAGCAAGTTTTTAATGAATTTTATTAGCTCTTAGATGTTTGAGAACTGTACATTTGCCCAACCTGGCAGTTCCAATTACAGAATTTTTGCTAGCTTAATATATATGTTATTTTAATTTATACTTCTTTGATTATTAATCAAGTTCAGCATCTTTATAA